TTCCTTAGGGAGGTCAGAGTGCCGACTGGATTTTTGGCGAACCCAAAGAAGCTAGTGGCGATGAAGGATCTATCATTAACATACTGCAAGGCTCACGATTGTCATGTGATGCTGACAGTGTTTCTACCAATTGCAATCAGGGCTATAAAGCCAGAGTTCCTAAAGATGGCCATCACCCGCATGTGGTACTTCTTTTTGAAGATCTCACAGAAGATGATTCGCAGGCAAGAGCTGAGTGACCTACATGAATTCATGATGGAGACCCAGAACCAGCTAGAGATGTGTTTAACTCCTGCTTTTTTTGATATAATGGTACATCTCATGATTCACCTGGTTCATCAGATCGAGACGCTGGGCCCTAACTTCTTGCATGAAATGTGGTCCTACGAGCCGAATAGAGGCTCTCGACGGAGTGATGCGAAAGGTCCTGTACTTTGGCATATTTGAAGATATATGGGAACTTGACTATGGAAGGGATATAAAGGTGGCCATGTTTCGATGCCGCTGGATCAAGCAACATCAATTCAATGAGATCAGACAGAGAGTCATCGACCTCCAGAATGTAGGCTACCAGGATGACCCTTGGGTGCTCGCTGAACATGTCGCGCAAGTCTTCTATATGCCCGACCCGCAAAGTAACATCCCCCCAAAGAAGAAGACAAAGCATGTGGTGGCCTCCAGGAAACAACATATCATCGGAGTTGATGGCGTGGACGATGTTGAAGCTTACAATAAGCGCGATGAGATGCCGCTATTCACAGACTTTTGTAAGAAGATCGAGGCTGTGGAAAAGAATCTGCCCAAAGATGTATTGCCATGGGAACGAAAAGGTGTCAAGGGGAAAGTTGTCACGATGGGCTTGCTAGTTTATATAAGTGTGTCAGTGTTCGTAAGACTACATTCATGTATGTGTGTGTGAGACTATATTCATGTATGTGTGTGTGAGACTACATTCATGTATGTAAGACTACATTTATGTATGTGTGTTTGAAGCTACATTTGTGTGTGTGTTTGAGACTACATTCACGTATGTTTGTGTGAACAATGTGTACTAAGAATTTATCAAATTATGAAATTACCAAAATAAAAGTTGTAGATTTCCATGAGTTATTAAACTTTGGTATTCATTACTTTTTTAGTTGAAATGATTTGGGGGTCCAAATTATGGTTTCAACTTGTTTTTTTTCAAATTTCAAAATTTGAAATGTTCAAATTTAGTCAAATGATAAGATAACCAAAATAAAAGTTGTAGATCTTGATGAGTTGAACAACTTTTGTATTCATCACTTTTACATCTGAAATCATTTAGGGTTTGAAAATTTGGTTTGAACTTGTCAAATTTTAAATTTTAAAATGTGTAAAACATTGTCACATCTAAGTTTGATCAAACTTAAATGCTGAAGCATGATTTTAGAAATTTTTAGTAAAAAGAACCATCACACTTGGAGTTAGTATAAGGGAGAACAACTAGTTACAAAGTTTACCCACAGATTGAAAAGAGAAATCACACTGTTCTAGATGATCCTTACATGATCATAGTGAACAGTGTGATTTCTTTTTTTAATCTGTGGGTCAACTTTGTAACTAGTTTTTCTTCTTCATACTAACTCCCAATTTGATGATTTTTTCCTAAAATTTTCTAAAATCATTCTTTATCAATTTATTTTGTTGGTTTTGTCAATATATACATATGAAAAGTTTGAGCAATTTAAATTTTGAATTTCAAAAAAATACAACTTCAGACAAGATTTTGGTACCCCAAATGATTTCAGTTGAAAAAGTGATAAATACCAAAGTTGAATAACTCATCAAGATCTACAACTTTTGTATTGGTCATTTCTTCATATGACAAAGTGGTAATGACATTGTTCACAAATGTGACACGTCTCTAATAAGGTTTTATAAACTATATGAGACATGTGTAAGATTAGTGAACAATGTGTGCTAAAAATTTGTTAAATAAAAAAATGACCAAAATAAAAGTTGTAGATATTCATGAGTTGAACAACTTTGGTATTCATCACGTTTTATGTTGAAATCAATTTGGGTCTCAAATTTTGGTTCGAACTTGTCGTTTTTCAAAATTTCAAATTTGAAAGGTTCAAATTTTGTCAAATAATAAGATGACTAAAATAAAAGTTGTAGATATTAATGAGTTGAACAACTTTGGTATTCATCACTTTTTATGTTGAAATCATTTTTGGTCTCAAATTTTGGTTCGAACTTGTCATTTTTTAAAATTTCAAATTTGAAAGGTTTAAATTTTATCAAATGACAAGATGACCAAAATAAAAGTTGTACATCTTCATGACCTCTACAACTTTGATGTTTATCAAATTTTCATTTGAGATAATTTGGTGTCTCAAAATTATTTTAGTAGTTTTGATTTTAATTTTTTAAAATTTAAATTTTTTCCCCATTTTTAAAGGTTCAATTTTGCAATTTTAAACTATTATAATTGTTTTAGTTATTGTATATGTAAATATATCTATAAAAAATAATTATAAAATTTTGTACTGTATTATTTATTATTTACATGTGAATAATTTATTTTGATTTAGAATTTTGAAAAAAAAATTCAACTATAGGGGCGGCTTATAACCTCAGCTGCCCCTACAGTGGCTCTGAGGTATATTACAGTGACCGTCCCTGTGGGCGCTAAGTGTTGGGCGAAATCGGGCTGTGGACGCTGTCAGGCTACCCAATTTCGCCGCTGGCGCCACCTGCACTGCCGCACCTGCACCGTCGTTGCCTGCCCCTCCCTGACCGCTCCACCGCCTCCTCCACCGTCTCCCTGACCCCAACCGCCGCCCCCGCCCCATCCACGGCCGTTCCCTAGGCCGCGACGGCGGCTAGGGTTTGGGAGCGCTCGCCCGCGGCCGGCTGCCCCGTCTCGGACCTCGACCTCGACCTCCGTCCTTGCCGGGCCGGCTAGGGTTTGGGAGCGCTCCTCGGCGCGGCCCATCCGTCTGCTCCCACGGCGCGCGGCTAGGGTTCGCTGTGCAGCTGCCGGTGCCTCGTCCTTGCCGTCCTCTCCGACCTCGACCTCCTCCAGCACTCCCTCTCTGAACCCCCTTGGTATGCCCCGGTCAAGGTCGTCTCCCTAGTCCCTACCGTCATCCTCTCTGGCGGCCGGTGGGCGCAAGCTCCGTTGCTGCAAGCAGCAGGTGCGTACATGTTTGTGCTCCAAAACATCAGGTTCTCTTTTGTCCACTTGCGGCCGTGTGGCCTGTAGGCCGAATCACGGAATCAGTAGTAGTTAGCAGTTCGCATCATGAGCCGTTTCAGATCTTGTTTTATCCTCAAGAACCGTTCTAGATTCAACGCTGCTCTGAGTTGCCTTGGATCGGCGTCTCACCACTGAAAGCTAGCTCACAGGTCACAGCCTCTACGTAGAACTCTAGATAGATGCCATCAGTGTTTTTTTGTTTGTGATTTGCTCATAAGTTGAGAGTGCAGTTTCAGAAAATAAGTGCTATCCTCGTGTTATGGTGTTATGGTGTCAAGCAAGTTGTATTTGCAGCCAATGCTTTCCTTTCCATATCCTTCACATCCCCATTTCCATTCAGAAAATGGAAATACACACTTGTGAAGAACAGAAGGTGAGAGACAGACCAAGACCAGCCCTCTAGAGCTACTGCACATCTGAAAGTCTGTCTCAGAGCTAGGTAGCATTTAAGGATCATTTAAGTGGTCATGGCAATGATTCTCAAATCCAGAAAATCTAATATAAAATGTTGCCATCAAATATCAAATGCATGCATGTTGACTTAGCCTTCTCAATTACCTTCCTCATCAGATGAAAGCCGGCTGCGCAGATACTTCAGCAATGTTGTTGTTGGTCCATAAACCAATGAACTGGGAACACAATATATTAACTTTGGCAGCTCCATAGAGCTCCCTGACAACTAGTTTAAGAAATGGTAGGAGAAACAGGGTTAATACATACCTCCTAAGTGTCCTCATAGGATTTCCAGTAAGCAGAAGCTTTCTTAGGGTAGTCATTTTACCTTGAGTTGCGCATGGATTGTTAGAATTTTCAGTAAGGCAGTAACATAAACTATGCAAGGTTCTTAAAGGCCAAAGCATACACTTATCACTCATGCAAGAATTCAGATCTACGATCTGTTAAATACATAAAATCAGACAGAGAGGAATGCATAACATATGCCTAGGCAAACAAGCAGACCAATGCATAGTGATTCCAAACAAAGCAGACAAATAGCAGCATAGTGCAGAGTAGAACGAACCTAGTTCAGCTGGTAGACCAGATAATGAGTTATTTGATAGATCGAGGAAAGATAATTTGAGGTTGCAAGCTCCAACTGGATACTCCTTTAGCTGGTAACAGGAGAAAATTCATCAGGCATTGGGTTTGTTGCTGGATACTCCTAAACCCAAATAAACAGTAGCCTACCACAACTTACTTGGGACTAAGGCTACATTGTTATTGTCATACATATGGCGCTTTTGACAAATAACTTAATTGTTTGAAGTCATCCAAAGTTTTAACAAATAAGTTTGTTGTGAAAACCATCATCAAGTGGCAGGAAGCAACAATATAACTAAAGTTATTCTGAATGATTGTGCTCTACAAATTCATTTGAACATGTATCATGTATGTGTCCTAACTAACAAGATCTCAAAGGATATTCTACCCCACCCCCACCACCACCACCACAAAAAAAAGCCTACTAAAACAGTTGACAGGATTAGGCTAGCAAGCCTATTCGGGGTAAAATTGTAACAGGAAAGATAAATTATTGTGTATGAAAAGGCCCAAGCATCTATCGCACCACTATTCGCTGCTTGCAATTCCAAATAAATGCTAGATATTCCCAGCCAAGGAACTAGAAGCTTTTCTCGACAGTGTCTTCTTTTTTGTTTAAATGGTGCAGGATAAATGTGTAAGGGTCTAGGGAAATGATGATAATATAAAATTGACAGTTTGGCCATGGAAAAGATGGGTAGAACCTGATTAGAATGGAGATCAAGTATGCCTAATTTTGATAATGTGCCAATATCAGCTGGTATTGAAGACAATAAGTTATTTCTGGAACACAAACAGAAAAGATGAATTTACATCACAGAAAAATAAATGCACAGAAAGAAAAAAAGGTGAATATGTCCTGAGTTGTGAGTAGAGAACAAACCCCATACAGAACTCGGCTAGTGAAGAGCAACCCTTTATGGAAGGAGGAATTGATGTTATTTCTGACACAAAAAGGTAGAAATCCATCAGTGCTAGTGAAAGAGTAAAAATGCAGAGCATGCGCATGTGACAACATGGGTAGATAAACTCACTATTCTGATGCATGTCTAGGCGGATTAGTTTTGGAAGTGCTCCAACGCTACCTAGGATGGCTGTAAGCAGATTTTTTGCTGTAACAAGCAAAAAGTTAGTTAAATGCAAGCAAAACTCAAATGAATCACATAAATTCAACGGATCTTATGTTACTTTTCATACCGAGATTCAACTCTGTGAGCATTGTCCATGAGACAAACATGTTTTCAGAAAGCGTCACAAGCTTGTTACCCTGATAAGTTGTGCACTTGAGTTTCAACAGGCAACTGGAACAACAAAGTAATAGCTTTAGCATTCTATTAGTTCTTACCTCTAGATCCAATTTACTTAACTTGGAACAGCCAGCAAGTACATCTGGTATTCTGGATATGTTGTTGTTTGATGCCTGTACACGATGCATACATTATTTTGTTCGTGTCTAAACTAGAAAGTAAACAAGGAAGTGATAAATTGGAAAGCCATCAAGTGCAAGACCAAGAAACCAGATAACTATATGTCAAAAAGTAAGAATACATCCGATGCAACTTACCTTGAGTTTGGACAAGTCCGGGCATTTGGCAAGGCTAGGTGGAATGTCAGTAAGGCAATTATTTGAGAAATCAACCCTGGCATAAAATACATGAATATTAAGCGTCACACATTGCTTCTACTCTTCACATGATGTGCTAATCAACAGCTGCTGTACACTTTGTGAGACACAAACATGGTTGAGCAGTAAAAAAAAGGCATGCAGACTACGGAGATCTAAAGTACCTGAATATAGGACTGCCGTGTGTCTAAAAAAGCAATTTAAATTAGTTATGATGTATCTTCTATTATGGATAAGTGGAATTTAAAGGGCTGCGGGTGTCATGTTCTATATTTTCATCTCTGACAGAAATGATGAATTGTACCATCTTGTAGTAGGCATATATTTGTCTATGTCCATCCTTGTAGTCTATCTTGTTTGAGTCATACAGCATATGCAGTGGTTGGCCTAACTGTGAATTTTTTGCTTATCTTTTCTTCGGTCCATCTTGTTTGAGTCATACAGCATATGCAGTGGGCTAGTCCTACTTTCTCTTTGTTTGAGTACTACTACTACAAGTACTACTACTACTAGTACTACTACTTCTACCACTAGTACTACTATTTATACTACTTTTTTTCTTGCATCTCTTAGAACAAGGCATGAAATGTCGCGAACATCAAAGAGTGCATCCTGATGCCCCGTGAATGATGAGCAGCCATCCCATGGAGAGCAAGAACTAGATGACCAGCTTACTCAGGAGCAGTTCGATAACAAGTTAGAAAAGGGTCTAGAAGTGATGCTTACTCAGGAGGACCTTATCGATGATGAGGATCCAGTGGGGGAGCCCAGGGAAGAGAAGGCAGAGAGGAGCCCAAGGCGAAGAAGGGGATGATGATGAGGATGAGGATGAGGATGAGGATGACGACACCTCATCAGGGGGATATGTAAGTCCCGAGGATCCTTTCCCACGAGAACCCAGACGGAGGCCAACGGAGGACGAGTTGGACAAGGATTTTGATCCGAACGACGAGGTACGGATAAAGCCTTAGTAGCTTGTAAATTTGGCTAATGCTATGGCTATATGTTACCTCCGCTAACACTTTTGACCTGCTATATACACAGGTCGTCCCTAGTCAACCTTTGAAAAGACGACGTTAGCCTCCGGCTCATCTTGCCGGACAATACGTAGCGGGGCAAAGGAGATCAGAGGAAGGAGCCATAGATACTCACAATGAGGCCTCCGCTCCACAACCTCAGGACACAACCATGACTAAGACTGCTCAGCCAAAGAGGAAATGAGGGGGGATTAGAAAGCCAAACCAATATCACGACAAGGCATGCTATGTGATAACGGAGGTCGGGCCAGACGGGCAGATCCTTGAGCCATATACATACAGGGCGAAATTCTGTAATCACATCGGGTTTGTAGTTAGAGATAAGTTGAACCCAGCTATCCGTGGCTGGAATCTTGTACCTATGAGCCAAAAGATAGACCTATGGGAGAAGCTGAAGCAGAACTTCAGGTTTCCGGAGGGAACGCACGAGTTGGTACAAGAAAATGCTTTTAAGATAATGGGGCAGAGCTTCCGACGTTGGCAGTCGGATCTGAACAAGAACTTTATCCAACAGAAGTTAACTCCTTTCCATGAGTATGGCAACATAACTCCTAGTCAATGGGATGAGCTCGTGGCTGAGAAGACTTCAGAGGCATCATTGGCCCTCAGTGCCCGTAACAGCGAGTAGGCGAAGAAGAACCAACACTACCCTCGTCTAGGCCCCGGTGGCTACGTTGGCAAGCAAGATGTCTTTAGGAAGATGGACGCAGAGGCCGAAGCTGTCGGGAATACGGAAGTGCCGAAGTTAAAGCCATGCCTCAAACAGTGGATATACGCGAGGAGTGTGGATTCATCCGGTAGTAGCCTCAAGTTTGCTAAGCCGGAGACCGGAGAGGTAGTATCAAAGATACTGAAACTTGCTGAAGACAAGGAGAAGGGTGCATTCAACCCTTCTAGGGAGAGGGACGAGCTTACCGTTGCCTTGGGAAACCCCGAGCACACAGGACGCACCAGGGGGCTAGGAAAGAGGATGTCCTGGAAGTACGGATTCGTAGAGGAGAGACACATGTACAAGAAACATGGCAGAGACCGAGAGTCTAATCTTGAGCGCCAAGTGAAGGCTCTAGTTGAAAAGATGTTGGTGGAGAAAGGACTATCTACGATGGAGCCACAGACACTAATAGGGCCGCCTAGAGAACTGGCGGTAGTTGGGCAGCCCTCCGGATGTTCCCAGCAGCCAAGGTTCCAATGCAACCGGAACCCCCGTCGATCGCATACGGGCACCAACCAGTTGCAAATTGGTGGTTCCGATGGGTAGGCAAAACGTGATCATTGAGGTGGCAACGGGTGTGGCACATCCTCCGGGCGACACGTGGCACAATAGGGACATCCCGTAGGACTACACTCGGGTCGAGGTGCATACCGTGAAGCCCGAGTTCATGACTTGGAAGATAGAACACCCTACTCCCAAGGGACTCGTGTTACTCAAAGATGTCATGAACCAGTTCATCCTCTGGCATAGACAGGACATTGTATTGACTGAGTCTTCACCAACTCCGACTGAAGTTCATCCTCTAGAGCGACCCATCGAGGACGGGGAGGTATACTCACCGGCCCATGACCATGACCACCACACGCTAGAGACTTATCCACCTCGTACCGAGCAAGGGCATGATGACATGCCACATCCTTCTCCACCTCGTACCGAGCATGGGCATGATGACATGCCACGTCCTTCTCCAGCTCGTACCGAGCAAAGGCATGATGAGATGCAACATCCTTCTCAACAAGCGCAGCCGATCCATGAACAACTGTCTCATGAACAGCAATTGCCTTGTGAACAGCCGATACATGAAGAACAAGTGGCCTCTGGAGCAGGTGATGCACAAGTTGACAAGGACGTGCCCGAATGGGAAGCTCAAAACAAAATCCCAATCAAGATAAGGCCATTGTATGTGGGCATTAATGATGTCTCGTCGGTGCACAAGTGGATGTCCCATGACCAGTTCAAGCCTAAGAACCAAGTAAAAGAATTCAGAGCACCAGCTTCTGAGGAGGGCACCACTAGCAAACTACACAAAGGGTTTAACAAGTATCCAGCTGTTGATAACCTCAAATGGTCAAATGATTGCCCGAATAAATATAAAAAAGGCAAGAACTTCCTACCAAACCGAGTCATACAGTGCTTGCCACATGGAATGAGAAAGTTCCACGATTGGTACTTGCGTGCTCAGATAACAGAACTAGAAATCTTACAAGCATGGATCCCTGCCGGCACATTTGGAGCCCTAGGTGGGCAAATTGCCGTTGAGTTTAAGGATATCCAGGCATGCTTCCACCTTAGACGAATGGAAATGAATCTAATTCGCATGTGGTGCTTGTAAGTCCTTGCCCTCTCGATATGATATGAATGTAATCTTTTGATTTTGTTGTAACTAACCCGCGCCGTGATTTATAGAATGCAAGTGGACTTTGTGAGAAAGAGGCCAGCTCTAAAACATGGGTATATAGACCCTTTACCTATAGCATTAACAAATTTTAATTACCCTAAAGAGTGGAAACTAGATTGCAAAGAACTAGGAGCTGGAAAGACACTTAAGGAGAAAGAGGACATCAGGAACAAAAAAATATTGGAAGAGTCCCTCAAGGTTGCGGCATACATTGCCCTATGTTTTAAAAATCTCCAACAACACGATACTATATGGATACCATACCACTTCAAGTAAGTTCGACTGTATACTTAGCTTTGTTCAATATACTTTGTTCGATGCAAAAGAGCTTATGTGTTCCTTCTATGACTAAATTCATGCAGCGATCACTGAATTTGCATAGGCGTCTGGCTCTCACATAGCATGGCATGGGTCTTTGATTCAGTGGATTTCCCAATCGAGACATACAAAGACTTCATAGCGATTGTCAAGACGTATACATATCGACAATCCTCATTTTAGCTACTATATTTGTATACATACTTATAAGGTTCAATGTTGGATACTAACAAGTTGCATTTGCTAAAACCATTGGAACAGGGCATTCAGGCACTACGTCTAGAAACATAAGGGGAGGCATCATCCAAATAGGAAGGAAAAGTTGTATGTCAAAACTCTATGTGCGGTAAGTGTCATTTACTTTGGTACTCCATATATTACGTGTCTGTCAATAGCATTACTTAACATCTCCATATGCAAAACACACAGTGCCCCAAGCAGAAGCCTGGGAGTCTACATTGTGGATACTACACATGTATTATGATGAGTACCATCGGTGACTACAACAGAAACCCCAATCTGGTAAGTTTGAACCTCTTCGCTCGTAGTATGAAAAGTTTGCATATGTTGTGATATAGTAAACCTAAACTTGTTCTCTTGTAGTTGGAGAAAGATAAAGACACGAGAAGGAACCCATACAAGGATGACGAGCTCTTAGAGATGGTTGGCGACCTTTGCAACTTCATAATGGACCAGATTGTGTACCATAAAGGCACTTACCATCATCTTCTTTCCGACTTAGTTAGTAATCCTCTATATCAACACCTTCGTGAGATTGATAGGCTAGCCCTAGGCTGTTGATGACAATGTGGACTTGTGGTATGGTTTGGATCAGACTTTGGAACGGTTTGGACTTTGTTTTGTATGTGGACTTGTGGATTTCTTAATGGACTATGTTATAATGATGGACTTCATAATGGACTATGTTGTAATGATGGACTTTTGTGAATTATGACTTGTGATGATGTTCTAAATAATGATCTTATATTTGTGGATGTATATATGTATATTTGTGGCGGTCAGATTTGAATTTGAATTATATATTGAATTTGAATTATTTTTTTTGCTGGAAAATCCACTGTAGGGGCGGTTCTTGATTGAACCGCCCTTACAAATACACACAGCAGGGGCGGCTGGTGATACAGCCGCCCTTACAGAAGTCCACTACAGGGGCGGCTGATATTACCCGCCACCCCTACAGAGGGCACTGTAGGGGCGGCTGAAAACACTAGCCGCCCCTACAGAGAGCACTGCAGGGGTAGTCAGGAAACCGCCCCTATAGAGGCACCCTCTGTAGAAACACACTGGGAAGGGCGGCTGGCGCAGCCGCCCCTATAGAGGCTCTAGAGCCTCCTGTACAGTTAACTTCTGTAGTAATGCGACAGTGTGGTGCTTATCGGGCGATGGCACATGCAAGCCTAGAAAGAGTGGGCAGAGGGAGACAATCGATGGACTTGCATGCAAGCATGGCTGCTTAGGCCAGTGTGATGGAATTTAGTGTCTAAATGGTTGTCCGTGTGGTCATTTAAACATTATTAGATCTTTAAATGTTACAATATCATGTTTTATAGTTGGGGTTATATTGTCAACCCTT